CTTCGTTCTGCCACACCTAGAGTACTGCGTACAAGCTTAGTCCCCAGCTCTGAAGAAGGACCGAAAGGTTCTGGAGAGGGTGCAGCGAAGGTTCACGCGGATATTCCCGCACCTTCGGGGAGCGACATATGCCGAACGCTTTCAGGCGCTGAACCTGTTCTCACTCAATCGGAGAAGGCTGAGAGAGGACCTCATTGAAACGTTCCGTATCTAAACGGGTTTCTCTCATCGAATATTCCACCTCCTTCAGCCGAACGATGTACCCAACAGGAGAGGACACTGCATGAAATTAGACAAGCCTCGGGCACTCAAACGCCTGACAGCCACCTTTCTCCGCATTGTATAATTAATGCATGGAACAAACTGCCTCAACAACTAGTGGAGTCTAAAACCATTGCTGAGATTAAGCTGAAGCTTGACGCATCCTGGGTATCAACGTTACCCGTTTGTACCTGACACCGAGCCCAAGGTTGCTAATAGCTCATCCGTCTCCGTACTTCCTCTTTATATTAAGCTGTTATAGCTGAAGATGCTTCACTCTGATTTCTACAACTCCCTCAGCTCCATTTTCATTCACTGTTGACCACACGTTACCGAAACTTCTCAACATCCAGTACCAGCATTTTTAGGTCATGTTTCTTCTCCACAACACATCTCTTACTCTGGGTAGCTCAAAGCGGAGGGTTGCGAGCTGTTGCTCTGAACCTGACAAAACCTCACACGCGTACTGTCACTCCGAGGAACCATCAGAATTGCGTTTTCCTTTTCCAGATCCGGATGCCCTGACGTCTATGTGAACGAAATAACACAATTGTCGCAGTGCTGTGGTGCTCCCAAGCTCAGCGATGCAAGAAACTGGGCTGCTCCTGGCTGCACCGCAAGTCCTGTGACCTTTCCTCTCCTGTTCTGTCCAACTTTGATAGTTCTTTGTGTTTTACTTCACTGCTATGGTTTAACTGGGCGCGGTTTTCAGCTCAGGTGTATATATAAGCTGTGTCCTGTTCAAACTCACGCAACATGTGTGACACACTTTTTGCTTTACTGACGCATTTATTTGCTTGTATTGGTTAGTCATCACATCAGCACGTATTCCGTACTTTCTGGTACTGCGATATGCCAATAAACGTCGTACGACCACCACGACTGTTTTTTTCTACTCAGGGCAAAGAAGCACTAGGAGTTCGTGCGCTTCATTCGACATCCGTAAGAAGACATATCGGCAGGCCGTCAACGTCGGTTAGCTCCATTGGTGAGGAACAAAGGTGTACTTGGTAAGTCAAATCCATCTTGGTTTGCATATTTTTCTCCCGGTTATTTTCCCTAGCACGATATTATTGCTTATCGCAACTGTACGACGACCGAGGAACAAAAATCAGAAAAGCGACAGTGAACTGAACCCTCTGGGCATTAGTTTTAAGCCAGTTCCTCCTTCACGACCCCAAGGTGTAGTTTGCTGCATCAGAAACGCAGTTTATAGCCCGTACCGTGCGCAACCCGCGCTTTAAGTACGTGTGCGCTGTCCGGGCGATCCCTGGAGACCGAATGTCAGCCATTATGTATATCATCCTCAGACCATCGGAGAATAATAATAATATTAATAGGGATCGGTATGCGATACAGCCTTCACCGCAACGATCACAATGCATACATAAACGTTTGTCCTACAAGGACAGTTTTGATGCCTATCGCGAACCCATACAGGGTCAAGCCTAAGGCCGAACGGGTTGCACAGCCCACCCACTTTCGCCAAAGGCAACTCCAGTCCCAGAAGCCACCACAGTGCAACCATCCAAAGCCCCAGATGACCGCACCGATGGTTACTGCTAGTTCATCGTAGCTATGAACCAGGAACTAGCAGTTGCAGGAAACCCTGAACCTACGCGACGGGAAAGGGGTAAGCCGGCGAGTAAAGGCGGCCGTACTCGTTGGCCAGCCTCCCCAGGTTGGCCGTTTGTTCTTCGTACGTGACCATCACACGAAAGCTAGGATCCTCGTAGATACTGGATCCCACGTTTTGATCTTTCCTATCGGTAGTAGCAAGCCACAAACTACGACTCTCCGGCTGAGGTGCGAATGGCACTCCCATCCCTACCTTTGTAACAAGAAAACCAACGGTCAATCTGGAAGGGCAACGACGGTGTCCGTGGACGTTTACTTTTGCGAATGTTCCCACTGGAGTACTGGGTATCAATTTATTGCAGTTCTACGAATTGCTTGTCGGTTCACG